TCGAACGACTCCGCCCCGCGCTCGGCGAGCGTCCGGAACTCGTCCTCCAGGCGGAACATGGACTGCTGGAGCAGGTCCTCGGCGCGGTCGAGGCAGGAGGAGATGCACTTATCGTCAGCAAGAGGGGTCCAGTCGCGGACGGCGGAGATCAGCTGGTCGACGGAATCGAGGAAGGCGGAGGAATCGGCGGAGCTGGACCAGATGGGGCGGTCTGCGGCGACGCAGCGGGAGATCTGGCGGTCGAGAGAGTCCAGCGTCTGTTCGGCACCGTCCACGGAGATCTTCTCGGTGAGCTTCTCCCGGAGCCTGCCGTCGAAATTGGAGAAGATCTTGAGGATGTCGTCGGTCATGGTGTCGGTGTGGCCTAGGGTTTTGGCTATGTGGCGGGCGACGGCTATGAGCTTCTCCTCACCGTTCTCCCCCATGGATGCAGTGTGTCGGAGCTCGGATCTGGGCGAAAATTGATGCTTGTGCCGATTGTTGTGGGGTTTGTACTTCGATTACATCACACTCTCAGCTAGAAGCAGAAATTGGATCGAATTTAATGACGAATCTGATGAGATCGAGAAGGTTGGGGGCCCACCGGAAGTCATGGGAAGGGTCAGACGCGGTTGCTGTGTGTGACTGATGAGAAGCAAAAATAATTTCCGGCGTAAATAAATAAACAAAAAAAAAAAAAACGGGGTAAAAAAGTGCAAAAAAGAAGTGAAGAATGTTGGTTTGAGTGGCTTTGAGCCTTGAGGTAATAAAGCGCATGTTGTGGTAATAGGGCTTTTTGAATTTTTTTGCTTCCCCAAAGATTTTTCTTTTTAAATACCAATTTTCATTTCTCTAAATAAATTTTTCTTTAAATGAAAAGTAAAACATATATGAAAAACATAACTTTTTTTGCAGAATTAATATGGGAAATGGAACAATAAGATAAGATAAAACCATAAAATAATATAAGAGTCTTAATCATTTCTCTTTTCTCTCTTAAACTTTGTATTCATTGATGTGAAAATTGAAAATTCTTAGGATTTCAATCAACCAAGCATTAAAATTGAAAAATTTTGAATTGATTATCTAGTATTACTACATTAGGCAAGTGTAATCCTTGGATAATTATATTTTATCAAAACACATATGTGTGTGTGTATATATATATATATTGTGAAAATGTTATACTTTAAATAACAATATATAATATATAATATATATATATATATTGACGTTTAATATTTCAAATGATCAATTTTTAAATAGTATTAAAGATTAACTCGTTTAATTATTTTACGGTCGAATAATAGTTTTATGGAGCTGAAAGAAAAAGGTATTTTGGATATTGTTAAAGACATACACCAAGGCTTTGCCTAATGAAATTTATACTTACAATTTACGTAATTTTGAACATAAAGCATGAATAAGTTATTTCCCTTTTTCTTTTTTTCCTTTTCAAACTAAAGATTTGGTCAGCTTTCAACCTTTGTTGCTTGTCCACTGAAAGCTAAAGACGAGGTATAATTATAGTTACTAGCCCGTGCGATGCACGAGATGCACTATTTTAAGGTTATTTATTCAAACTTATAATTATATACATGAATAAAGAAAAATGTACAGGATATATATAGTACGTGACCGGTGCAAAATACGAGATATATTTATTTAAAAAATATTATATTATAAGATGCAATATTCAATAAAAGTTTATAATACGCAAGAAAATTGTACAATGTTCAATAAAAGTTTTATAATATTCAAGTGGAGTCTTAAAGTCTCTTGTACATTAAGACTACTGACAAAATAATATTTTAATCAATGAGTTTCCTTTCCTTGTAGCCAAATTGTGAATGTGATTTGAGAAGTATAACAAATCGATATATAGTTGACTTGTTTTTTTCATTGTAGTTTTTTTTTCTTTTTTTTTATAATGAATTTAAAGATATTCTAAAATATAGCAAAAATTAATTTTTTTATATAATTAAGAATTTTACTAAATATAAACTCTCAATCTATGGTGTTAATCAACGTTTAAGTCTTAAAAATTAAGAATTCTTACCTCTTTTAATCAACGTTTAAGTCTAAAAAACAATAGAGTTATTATAAGTTTTTTTCTACATCTTTTAAAACATTAAATATGAGCATGTTAGGGCTAGCTTGTAAAATAATTAATATATTATCTCACCAAAACATTTATACTAATAAAAACTTAATTTTAGCATATAAATTTATCCTTTGATATAAGAGAAAGTAACTGTTTCACTTATTGTTGTTCACCATATAATATTTAATTATTATTTTATTATATAATAAAAAAAATATTGTTAAATAGTGTAGTAGAATTGTTATAAAATTATATGATTTTTATTTTTTTTACAATATGGATTTAATATTTTTTTATGATTTGATAATATAAACAAATCTATACTTAACTTTGACAAATAAAACAAATAAATACTTTAGTAAGTATTTAATGTATATACTAAATAGAAATATTTTTGGTATAATCAAATACCAAATATAATCAAATAAGTCAAAGTGTATATTTTTATTTGATATTTGATTTTTTTATTATTAATTTTTTTTATTATACTTACGTTTTTAAAATAAAACAAATAAATAAATCAATTAAATAAATAAAATATTATAATACCAAAATAGTAATGACATTTAATGCAGTTGACTTTTCTGGACAGTAAATATAGTAAATAGAATCTCATTTTATATAAGTATAGATTGTATAATACGAAAATAGTAATGCAATAAATGTTGTTGACTTTTCTTTTTACTAAATGTGGTAAATAGTATACCTTTTAATATAACTATAAATTATAAATAAAATAGCCGTTAGCGGTTGGCCGCTAGCTCTGTAATCATACATAAGACAACTGCTAACAACAATTACGTTTGTTGCGAAACGTTTTTCAGTGATGTTTATTTATTAGTGTATGCGGTAGTTTAAGATGTACCAATAGTTTTTATATCTAAATATTTAATGAATCTAGATTTTGGTGTTTATTTATTTTTTATTAATGAACTTATAGTTGATGCCTTTTACCTTCTCAATGTAATATAACCTAACCTATGGCGTGCACGTTGATAGTTCTAAACGAACTCAGAGGTCAGCTCATAACTAAATTACAACCTAGGATTCTGAAGATTTTTTGTTTTTTTTTATTATCGAAATTACTGTTTAAAAACTATAATTCCAGACAAAAGTATTAGGCTATCTATACTTAATTTTTCCCCAACACGTATATTTTTGTTTATTTTAAAACTAAGATGTGTTACTTATATTGGAAAGTCTATTCTCAGTAATATTACATCAGATAGTTTGTCACATTATGTTGTCGTGACTTTTTAAATATCATTTTGACTTTATCGTCTTTTCATACCTACTCTTAATTTTAATGTTATTAATTTTCATTAAAGAATGTTATTATTGACAAAAAAAAAATAATTATTATATAACTTTTCAAAACGACATGTATGAATAAGAGGGAGTGCTAGTTTTTAACTTTAACTAGTGTTGATACCCGTGTGATGCACGAGGTGCAATACCAAAAATATTTTATTTTAAATATAATAAAATTATTTAAGATAATATGAAATTATATTCTCCACAATATTCTACTCAGTAATAATATGACATTCATTTATTTACTATTATTGTTAATTTCTATTTATATATATATTTTTTTGTAGTATTTGACTATTTAATATATAAATTTTATTATTTACAAGTTCATAAAATGTTATAAATGTATAAGATCATAAGATATTTGCATACAAATTACTTGTATGTACTTATAAAATTGTTATTTATCACAGTCTTAATTTTTTTAACAATTCATAATTTGCACATTGCTTGATAATTGACCAACGTTTAACCCATAATATTTATCTTCCGCTATAATTATTAAGTGCATTAAATGTAAAAAGTTTGATAAATAAATTTTAATTTTTAGTAACTTTAATCCTTATGCAACACACAAAATTTTTACGGTTAAATATTTTATTTTTATGTTTCATTTTTTATTTATATTTATTTCTTTAATTCATTTTTTCAACCTATATAATGAGTTACATAGTATCTATTCGAATATTTAGATATATTATACATTTCCATAATTACCAAGTCCTATAATTTAAATTATTATAAATTGCTTTTTTATTAACTTATTTCATATTCATAAAATAGTATATAAGAAAATAAAATATATTTTTAAAAATTGAATAGTTTTTTAATGTACATAGAGATACTTCTAAGGTGAAATTTATAATTTTGAATTGCACCCGACCATCAAGTTTTATTTTTATTAGTATATTATTTAAAATTTTCAGTAGTATTATCACTGCATATGATATATTCAATTAGGATGTACCTTTTTGTAGTTAAATTGACTATATTTTAGAAATTTTTATTAATATTTTAAATTATTTATTAAGCTATTATGATTTAAACATAGTTATTCTTATTATTTTATTAAATATTAAGTACTTCTAATAATTAATTAAATTAATTAATAGTTACAACCGTAGATAATATTTTTAACCAAATTAATTTCCATAACATTTTTTTGAATTGTGTTAATAAATTACTATTAAATTAATATAAGATCTTATTGAAAATATATGTAATAAATCTACGGTCAAAATTTCAATTTAAACCAATTTGTAGTTAATAGTCACTGAGTGTATACAAATTAATTATGTTTATCATTCATAAGATTTGTTAATAAATACATATTAGTTAAATGTCAAATATATACAAAAAAATTTCCCCCTAAAATCATGTCAATTATGGTAATAAAAATTAGTCCATTATATAGATATAGATTACTTAAGTTCGTTCGCAGGTCAACATCACTATCCTTAGCAGCACTGCTTTGCCTCTTGAAATCATTCTTGAAAAATATTTTTAGTTAGAGCTTAAAATGAAGAATAAAGAAATGAAAATCTAAAATGTACTTTTTGAAACAGCAAAGTGAATATATATTTAAAATTTCATATTATTACCAATTGACTGAAATTTTAAGAAAAGAAAAAACACCTAGCAGGCTAGCACAACCAAACACGGGGTCTGATAAAGAACTTAAAACTCAGATTTTTATTTCATCCCAAGGATTATTACGAGCCAATAAATACTCCTTTTTGCTAGGCCAAATTCATTGTTAAGCATTACAAGAAAAAGAAAAATAGAGAAGGTACAAAATCGCATACTCTACACAGCCGTCTTTTACAAGCTCTGTTCCGCATATTTGCTGGTCTCCTCTACTACTTTAGACCACTCGCTTGCAATTTTCTCACTATATTCAACCTACAAAGACCATGACAAAAGCCAATGAAAAGTGTTCCAAATTCAACAGTAGTTTGTGTAGTTTGCATTCTCCACCCTAAAGTGTTCCAAATTCAACAGTAGTTTGTGTAGTTTGCATTCTCCACAAACTGTATGCAAACATCAAATAAAATTCTTCAAACATGGACTCTAGTACACCACATAAATTTATTTTCCATCACATAATATGAACATCTACACCCTCATAGTCTTGTCACAGGGATTCTCTAATGGCATGATTGGTAGGAAGGAAAAACATGAGAATGGAATGATCATTCCCTTACTCATTTCTTATCCCATGATTGGTATATTTTTTGGGAAGGAATGACCATTCCAATGGGAATGGCAAAACCCATCTCCATGGGATTAGCCATTCCATAGTAAATGGAAGGTTTTCTCATTCCCATGTATGTAGGAATCAATTTTTTAAAAAATAAAATTAACAAATAATAATAAAAAATAAATATATAATATATATTATAAATCGTGATTAAAATATATTAAATAAAATTATTTAAACAAAAATTTAAATAAAAAATTTAAAAACTTACTTTTATTTATTTTTTAATTAGATATATTAAATATTTATATAAAAATAAAACTAAAAAAAGTATTTATATATAATTTAAAAATATATTATTTTATTTTTATATATTATTAAAAATATATTATTTTTTATATATTAAAAATATATTACTTTTAAAAATATATTATTAAAAATATATTATTGAAAAATATTAAAAATATATATTATTAAAAATATATTACTTTATTTTTAAATATTATTAAAAATATATTATTTTAAAAAATAAAATTCAAATAAAAAATTGAAAACTTACTTTTATTTACTGTTTAATTAAAAAATAAAATATATATAATTTAAAAAAAATTACTTTTAAGGATGTGTTATTTTTTATATATAATTTAAAAATATATTATTTTATTTTTATATATTATTAAAAATATATTATTTTATATATTATTAAACAATATATTATTTTATTTTATATATTATTAAAAATATATTATTTTATTTTTATATATTATTAAAAATATATTATTTTATTTTTATATATTATTAAAAAAAACGTTTATATATAATTTATTAAGAGTATATTATTTTTAAAAAAAAACTTTTATTTATTTTTATAATAAAAAATGATAATGTCATTCCATTCCAGTCATATTCCTTTTGCATACCAAACGCATCAATGACAAAACATTTTTCATTCCATCCCCATAATCATTCCATTCCTACGAAATTCCATTCCATCATACCAATCATGCTTAAGAGATATACAACTATGTAATTGGACCATAAAACTTGACCACATTTTCTAGTGTCATTAAAGGCTGTTCGGCTCAAAATGGTGTTGATGACAGTAAGAAAGACAGCAGTTGGAAGCATTGCCATGTAACACAGACAAGTGAAAAAAAGATAATATCGGCTATTCAATTGACAATTATGATGTTTTATAATCCCTTCACAAAAATGTAGTGCCACTATTCCTTGTTAGGATGTCTGAAATATATCCTCCTTACTAGTATTTTTCTTCATTCTTTACTAATATATTCATATGTAATACACATTTTCTAACAGTATTCATTAAGTAAGGACAACAAAAGAATATATTTCACATTTTTAAAGTCTCCAGCAAATTTCTTGATCTAAGTGAAACACCAAACTGGGCTACATATTTGGGACAGAGGGCCAAATGTAATTGACAATTTGAAGGAATAGGAAAATGAGATTCATCAAGTTGTACCAGCAGTTATCCATTCATCATAGTAAACGTACCTGATTGACAACGAATCCTTTTAACATGTTAACAAAGTCAGCCTGCCTTTCTGTATCTAACCGCTGGATCTCACTCTTGTTATTTTCCTGCAACCAGACCAAGAGTTTTCGCATTAATAGCACTATATAAAACAGGTTAGCACAACATAATGAAAGAAAAAAGTATCTAATAGCCGTCCACATATTTCTAGGGTATAGAACATGAAAAGAAGCAGTATCTCAAATATTGATGGAGATGAATGAGCCTATGGCTAAGGTTATAAAGGGAAACAGGCATTGCTAGTAACTTATCAGTTCACGAGCAGTTTGCGTATTAGATAACCAAAGCAAATAGATATCTCAATAGGCATCTTAGGGTAATGATCCGTGTCTTTCAAAATTAAAGAATTCATGAATATTTTTCTCCCACAAAGCACTCTCAATAAATATCATCAAGCAACATTAATTTCTCAAAGCTGCTCAAGTAATCATCAATTTTCATTCACGTTGATACATGGCTTACACTCGTGACCAATCCCAGCCAGCAGCTTCCCAAGTACCTTCAAAGCATATTTTGCAACAAAGAAATGCCAGTAATCACAATAACCTTAGCAGCCCATCCACTGAACACTCACATCGACAATCCTTTGCTAATAATACTTTTATTATGACTGAAAAATATCTTGACAGGAACTCAGGAAGGGAAATGAAACCAAAATAAATTTTGTGACAGCTTTGGTTAACACATGCTGGACCTCTCACCAAATATCAAGCATAGAATAAAAAGTATCTCAAGTCTCTGACTGCAGTCCAAGTCCAAACCTTGAGTGTAACCACATTCAAAATCGGTCACAGGATCAAAAACCATATAGAGAGAAAATTCACATTATAATGTTCCAACCAAATGTTCACATATGTATGTAGTAACAATGTAACCAACTTCCAACACTTTCTGCCAGCAAAAAGCAAAAGAAAGGAAAAATTGTATTTAGATTGCTTAAGGAGATGGAAGCTACAACCAATTTTATGAGGACAAATTATGCTTTTGAAAAGATCAATGAGAAGAGTGGACATTTTAAGAAACAAAATCAAGCACCCTCAGTAAAAGTCTGTTAAATGAAAAAATAGATAAATAAACGCAGATAAACAATTTAAAAAGAATTATAGTAGTAATATTAATACGTTAATTGCAAAGACAAGAAATTGGCCGTGCACCAATCTTTTCATAAACCAAGATTTCTTCTACATAAAACCAGGATATTAACATATATCGATCAACTAAATCTGAAAATTGTTGGTAAAACACAAGCCAATCATAAAAACTTAGGAAGGACAAGCAAAGATAAGAGTATTTCTGAGCTCCAACACAACTACACAAGTAGTGTTTCAACTCAAGCAAACTGAAAATTATTAAGAGTGGTCTGTAGCCTATTCCCTGTGGGAAATATGCTGATACTTTATACCTTAATCCTTTCATATTCTTTAATCGCACAACTTTTAGCATCTTCCGTGACCCTAATCGCATCTTTTAGCTCTTCATATTTGCGGATCCTTGACTTATCACCACCAAAGATTTTGGATGATGCAGAATCAAGTTTCTCAGCTCTTGAATGCAAGGAAGACAATTCAGATATAAGAGTTTGAACTGTCAATAAGGCACTAGATCGATCAGAAAATGCACTGTGTACAGCTAACATCATCCCCATATATTCGTGCAGCGTGTCCTGCAGTACATGCAGATGAAATAGTAACGTCACAAATATGAACCCAGAAAATTAATTAATGACGGATTAATGAGACCATATCCATATAGAATATAGAAAGAAACCAGGAAGGAGAAAATCGAAAGAACCCAGGAAGGAGAAAATCCCTATTATTAGAGACGCAAATAGCTATATAAATTTTATGATCCACCACATAAACTCAGTTCCGGTTTCATTTTGAAAGTCGAGAACAGATACTTTTGAGAAATATATAGGTTGGGTCACAAAAAACAAAGAAACAGAAAATGAAGTAGATATAAATAGTAGTGTGGAGTTTGGAAAGAGTTCATTCTATTTGTGGGAAGAGAACCTTGATAACGGATGACTGTAAAAAAACATCAATATTAGGGAGGGAAAGTATATTCTCAGTGATACTCCTAAGAGTAAAGTGGTGACAAAAGGGGGGAAAAAAATTGGATGGAAGAATGAATTGTTTTTGAGTGTGAATGGATACGAGTCACGACGTAATGGTTAAAGTTCATGTAATATAAAAATAGTAAAATACTAATTGCAAATGGTCGGTAATTAAAAATATGTGAATTGAATAGTGAATTTGTTGGAAATGTGCAATGATGATTGATTTATAATTTTTTAATTGTATTGATAAGAAAGAGGTAACGTAAGTAGGATAAGTAGGAATAAATGAAGAGTAAATTAAAATTATATCCAATCACAGTTCTTGTGAAAAAGAAATTATTCCGCGAAACAAGACCGGAAACGATTTTTATCCAATCACACCGTGAATCCTAAAGTGGTTATAGTTCAGAGAAATGAGTTTCCCTACTTTCTGGAAACTATAAGCTACTAATAAGATTCTTCACTCCACTCGTGTTCTTACCAACATTAAATGAAAACATCTACACACAACCAAGTTTAAATATATATACGAAAAAGGAAAGGTCTCCTGGAATCCTAACTCCGCCATAAGTCCTTGGTCTTCACCTTAACCTTTAAGTAATCAATTAAAAGGTAATGACCTACTACAAGAATATGTGACTTGTTAAAAAGCATATTGGTATTTGGTTCATTCTGAATCATGTAGCATAAAAAGCATGTAGAAGATATGTGACTTGTTAAAAGGTAATGACCTACTACAAGAATGTAAAACTTACCAAATGTTTCACCGTATGTGCGTTTAATTCTCGATATAGTCTACTTGTTTTGACGGCTGCAGTAGCCAGAGTCTTCATGTCAGCAGCTCTCGCTCTTTGAGTATTTAATGCTGCCTGCTCATTCTCGAATTTTGTTAACTTAATGAAAGCCAACCCCAATTCTCCCATTACCTCCCCCACATCTTGCTGTGCTTTAACCAGTGATTCTGCCTACCAGTTCAGGAAACAAATATAAAGAAATGCAAATGGAATAAAGCATTGGAAGTTAATAGAAAGATTTTCAGATAACAAAATGGTAAGAGCGGAAATATTCCACGTTCTCACACAAACGAAAAAAAAAAAATATAATGGCAATTAACAAAAAAGAAGAAACATATATAGTACTGTAAACAGTTTATTTGGAGATTGGAAACCTGCTTAGATGCATTAGTAAGATGCTGCTCAAGGTCCCACAACTTCTCCTTCTTCTCCAGGAACTCCTTATCCTCCTCCTCTACAGGAGGCCTTGAACTACCCCAGTCATTGACAACAGACTGCTTCAATTCCTTAAAGAACCTCAGCATGTCCCTCCCGCCTTTGGCCGAGTGCACCACATCCTGAGGCTCGATCACACTCCTCGACTCCCCCAGAAGCTGCTTTGGCAGCCTCACGGCTCCATCAAGCATCCTCGACGCCACATCAATGCTCGTGGGCAGTGGCATTCTCCCCTGAACAGTCAGAAACACCCTTAGCTCGTCACTTTTCCTGATCATAGGATGCCTCGCGAGCCTCCTCAGGTACTTCTCCAGCTCCACTCTCCTCTGCTCCACAAAGTCCTGCTTCTGCATGACCTGGCTTTCGACCACGCTCTTGTCCGGCCGAGGAGGGATGAAAAACCCCCTGTAGCCTTCACTCAGCCGATCCGACAGAGTAACAACATCCTTGAATCGCCGCCGTACGCTGAAATCAGATCCCCCATAATCTGGAAGATCGGTGCTCGTACTGATCAGATAAGTGATGTAGGTGTTGCCGCCGGGGACAATCGAGTTGGACGACTCGGTCTCCTTCTGGGGATTCGAGACCGTGATCTTCAATTGATCGGGGCCGGACGGCGAGGATCCCCTGGGCGAGACGGTAACTTCATCGGAGAAGGCGATCCCGTTGCCATTGGACTCGGGGGCCCCGTCGTGGAACGGGCTGTGGATGACGTCAGCGTAGGAGGGGGAATCGAGGGACGGGCTGCGAGCGGGGAAGAGAAGCGGATCGGAGGCGACGGGAGTGGCGGCGATGGACGGAGGCGGAAGAAGTGGGTGCTCGGCGGCGGCGAAGGAGGAGGAGGTGGAAATGGTGGTCATGGCGCTGCGGTAGTTGGAGTAGGACTTGGAGACCGAGACGTCGTCGTTTCCGTCGTTGACACCGCCGAGGGTTAGGGTTTGCATCTGATCTGCGGCGGAGAGAGGGTGGTGGAATTGAGCTTCTTTGGCCTGATCCCCTTGACCTGGTTGACCTGTGCTGTCTGGCCCCATCATCTTCGTCGGTATTTTGGCTTTGGATTTGGACGAAGCTTTATGATATATGATTTATATACGGAATAATGCCATTGAACCTTTTTCTTCACTCATCAGCAGTCTGCTATATCCACAACTCTGAATCTTTCTTTTTTCTATTTGTGTGGTTATTAATTTACTATGTCCTTTTTGCATAATAAACCTTTGAAGATAGTTAAGATATTTGATTTTGAACATTTTATTTAATTAAATTAACTTAAATTTAAAAATAATGTTACACACAACTAATTAAAATATTATTTAATATAAATGACATTTCCCTAATAAATTGTACAAAATAAAAATTGAATAATTTATTTATACTAAATAAAGTATGCCTAGAGATAAAATTGTCTCTCATAAAATAGTGGAGTAAAGTTTTGATGGAATAATTTTTGGAATTTTCTTTTTTAAAAATGTTATAACTTTTTACTATATGAATTATCGTGTTATTTTTAACTTTTAATCTATAAACCTTTAAGTATGATTGGTGCAAGTTGCGATGGAGAGGAGAAGATGGATTTTAATGGAAAGAATGTAAGACATTATAAAATGATTTTATCTTGTTAGAAAAGATTTTTTAAAAGAGTGGATGAAAAATAGTAAATCTTGCTTAGTTACAAAATGCAGATGAAGAAAAATATTGTAAAATGATAATTATATATTTAATAATGTTAGAAACAAAAGAACAAAATATAATAATATATAATAAAGACAAAAGTGTAATTTTATGTTTAACTGTTTTTCATCTCCTCGAAATTCTCGAACTTTTGGGGGAAGGAAAGTGGTGGAGGGACAGTCCCCTCCCTTCCTAACTTACCAACGAAACCAAACAAAAAAAAGGTAAAGAAAATATCTCTCCCCTCCCCTCCACTTCCCCATCAAACAACTCTTAGACTAAGTTTAGATTGAAAGATTTACTGACGGATTTAAAATCCATATATTTTAAATTTACAAGTTCAAATTGTCATTCATGTTGGGATGGTAATGGACGTTGGAGGATTTCAAATTCATGCTAAATGTTTTTTAGTCATTATTTTGAAGGATTTTAAATGACTCATCAAACCTAGTCATTTGAAATCCACTGTTTCTCACAGTTGACGATCACGCCATCCGCGATCATTTAGGTTCATCACCACCACGAGTCAACACCATTAGTGCGAGCTAGATAATTGATTTGTAATATTTTCAACACATCCATTCAAGGAGTGTGGAAGTAAAAAAATTTATATTTCAAAATTTTTAAAATTAAGGGATTTCAAATCCCTCAAAACAAACAAAGCCTTAAATTGTTTACAAACAATCATATAAGCTTTACATCTATTTAGAAATAACCTCGAAACCACCATTAAAATAGTTTAGTTTTAGTACATGTATATAAATAATCTTTTACCAGTTAAAAATAAATTAATTTATACACCAAATAAATTAAAAAATATAGAAAAATGAACTGAAAAAAAAAATCTTTCATCTCAGGCACTCAAATTAGATATGCATCTACATATTCGATATGGAAATTATCCTTGAACTGAGTTAAATCGACAACACCACGAACGACCTTCTATCTCGAGCTCCGGTGCGTAACTCATCATTTTTATATACTAGGGTGTCATGTTACCCAAACAAAGTCCTAACTATGAAAGAGATCAAACTGAATCTACTTTCATATCTTATCACATGTCTAGAATTTGAGACTCCTTAGCGACATACATTTTGCATCTTTAAATGATTTTGTTCCCTCATACCATACGACACTTAGGTCCTTAGATTGTCCGAGTGAACTCACAATCTACCTATCACAGGTTGTAACCAGGTCATAACCACGATATCTATCTTCACGACCTCTAGGTCGTGAGATCCACTCATCAGTCTGAACTCTCCTAAAGGAAGTTGACATTTTTTGTTCCCGATGGAATAATGAAACCAAACTAGTCCCATAGCTTTTAAAATCGTAGTACATTTTTTACCACATTACAATTTCCGGCCCGAAAAGCCACAATGCTAGGGACGAAATGATTTGTGCGTAGCTCTGGTTGGCTCATTGTGGCAATTCGTCAAACACCTTGATTACGGAACGTGGTGCTGAGAAGCAAGAGTTATTGTGCCCAGAAATTGTTTTCTTCACATCAAAAGGGGGACCAAGTTCCATTTCCGGGAGTTATCAAGTACCTTACAAGATTTTCTTTCCCTTAAACATCTTTTAGCTTGGGACAAGGCAATAGGTTTAATCAAATTTGCATTTTCTTATCTGCAGCCTTCTTATGGAAGTTTTTACAGCTGAGTAGAAATAATACAGGAAAAAAGCAGTGATAAAAAGTAATATAAATAAATGATAAGGTTGAATCTTGATATGGGGTGCTTATAGAACAATGCATATAATCTCATCCAGTGCTCAATTGAAAATCTTTGACATTATCATAGGAGTTAGGGAACAGAGACATCTGCCTGGACATGATTTAGTATATACCTTATTAATAAAAATTATTAAACCTTAATGCACGGTGTTGCACAATCTTAATCGATTCATGCAAGCTTTCACAATGTTCATCCAGATTTTTGCAAATGAAGTTCTCGTTTCGTAAATGCAAATGATGAACAAGCCATCAATCTCATACCAAATGATCTCATTAATTGACAACTAACCTTAATTATTTGGCACGTCTACTTGTCATTCTAGTTGTGATTTTTGAACTTTTAGTTGATGTGTTTCATTGCACTGCAAATCAACGCCTCCCTTTGATGTAATTTTAAATCCTGCAGTTGCTTCGGCTTCAGTTATAAGTCAAAAACTTCTGATCAAGATAATTTTTGTTTTTTTTACAGGTATCGCCATGGGATTCGGGTCCGATAACCATTTCAACCTTTTCATTGTTGCAATTCTTTTGTAGTCTGGTTTCCTTAGTTGAACTTTTATTGATCTGAAATGTGAGGAAATTGGATGATACATAAGCAGAGGGTTGTTAAAGAACAAAAAACTCGTTCAACCTCGTTGGCAAACAACAAAAACTCGTTCAGTCTCGTTCGTGTTCGGCAAGAGCTCGCTTGTTGTTAATCGAACGAACATTTTTCGATTTAATCAATCATATTAGAACGTTTGTTTCTTCAACTATTCGAATACGAAAGAACTCGAACTTTGACGAACAACTAAACGAATGAGCTCGAACACAATTTTTTGTTCGAAAAATAAACGAACGAACACAAACAGTGGTCGAATGTAAACAAACACGAGCTTGAAATGCCAAAGCTCGACTCATTTATTTCGTTAACAACACTATATTAGCGTGGGTAAGAATTTGCTTGTAGCCTTGTACTGTAACATTGAGTTCTTATAAGATACTACTTGGTTCCAAAGTTAGAAACCAATATTATTGTTAAATTTTCTCCATTGTTCAAATATTTTTCAGTCAGTAAGCCTTTTATTAAAATGTCAAACCATTAGTCAGTTATAACAAATATACATACTTTTATATGCCATTATCATAATTTAATATATATGGCAAATAATAATAACATTTCGTAGTATACATCATGTTTAGAATATGATGGCGACGAGATCGCATTGGCGTATCTGGACAAGTTTGATCGCCTTCGTATCTAGTTATTTATTATTTATAGCCTTTTATTTATTTTTATTTATTTCCAATGTTTAGGATATCTATTAAATAAAATAAGGTTAGGGTTTGGGGAGTCTATTTAAATGAGAAGAGTTCTCATTGTAAAGCAGACGTTGATTGAAATAAATTCTCTTGAGTTCTCTCTGTGAGTTCTTATTTTCCCATCGTACGTTTTCTTCTGCGTCAGTTGGTATCCAGAGTCAGACCGATTCAAGATGCCGCCAAAACGAAATGACAACAACCGACGTCATGCTCATTTGGAGGACTTAGATCGAAGAACTGATGATCTCGGCTTTCAAATCGAACGAATTGATCGCAAGGTCGAAGGGTTTCGGATGGTGTCGAGAAAATTCGGTCGGCGATGCGGATGTTGCTGGCTCGGGAAGGTGCGGACCGCGACCCGGCAGGCCGGGGGGGTCGCGGAGGGGCTCGCGGCCGACATGGAGGCAGGGGGTTTGGCGGTGCGCGCCGTCATCGCTCACCACCTTCGTCGCCCGGTCAGGACAGCAGCAACGACACACAGTCGGAAACCAACCCCTTCGGTTTTCGACGTGAAAGACGAGACGGCGGTGACGACCGCTGGGACGGCGTGAACCAGGAGGACGACGGTTGGGATGATTTTAGTGGCCAGCGATGCGGGGCGGAGGGCAGCGACTCGCGATGGAAGGCCGGGTTTCGCGTCGACTTGTCAGAGTTCTTGGGTGGACTGGACGCCGGCGACTTTCTCGACTGGATTGCTGTGATGGAGACTGCTTTTAATTTCAAGCAAGTGCCGGACTATCGCCGAGTCGGGCTGGCAGCGACACGATTGCATGGTCGGGCTGCAGCTTGGTTCACTCAACTCCAACAACGGCGACATCGATTGGACAAATCTCCTATTACTTCTTGGGGTAAATTTCGTAGTTTTATGGAGGAGGAATTTTTGCCGTTTAATTATGTTAGTATCATATATCAAAAACTCCAAACACTTCCTCAAGGTAACCATCTGGTTGATGATTACACTGAAGAGTTTCACAGATTACTTACTCGCATTGATAGCCGCGAGACCACTGCTCAATTAATTTTGCGGTATATTAATGGGCTTCGTATTCCGATTCAGGATACCGTTAATATGTTCATGCCGGTTACCTTGTCTGATTCTCATCAACGCGCTATCATGGCCGAACAACAATTGGCAAGACGGGCCTCTTCGGTTTTCTCACCGGCGAACCGATTCGCCAATCCAACCACCGGCCCGGGGAAGATCGTCTCTGGTCCAGGGGCAACATTGGGTCTGGGGGGCAGCCGCCCGGGCACTTCGGCTCCGGGGAGTTCCTTAGGCGCGGCGGGTGCGCAGATGGGTCCTCGTCCAGGTAGAGGTCTCTGTTGTTTTTCTTGTGGGGAGGTGGGCCATCACCAGTCCTCATGTCCTCGTTCAGTTGGTGGTCGACAGTTATTCGTTGAAGGTGGCGGGGAACACGATGACCATTTCGCTTATGATGGACCACTTGTGTTTGATACGGATCCTTTGGAGTCTGTGGAGGTTCATAGTGGTTACGTCGGCACATGTCTTGTTCTACGGCGTTCTTGTTTG